AATGTATGTGAAGGATTTATATAACATTTAATACATAGTAAGTGCTTGATATATGTTCATTCATTTAACACATACTTATGGGAGTACCTATTATGTGTCAGGCTGGGGATATATAGCAGTAGACCAAACAGACAAAAATCCCTACCCTTATGGCATTACCATTTCAATGAGGAGAGATAAATAAGTAAAAATATTTTATCCAATTATAATAAGGGGAATAGAGAAAAGTACATTGTGGAAGGGGAACAGGGAAGAGAGAGGGCTGTGATTTTAAATAGGATGGCTAGGGAAGGCCAAGCCTGGGAAAGTGAGGGAGCCAGCCAGGAGGCCAGCTGGGGAAATAAAATTTCAGATAGAAGAAACTGTAATCCCACAAGCAAAGAGATTTGTGTGAATAAAGGGGGAGACTAGCAGGCCATAATCCTTTCTCCAAGTTCTGGACCACAAAACCTCTGAAGATTCTAGCTATATTTATTCCCCGCCCTCTCTCCCAAGCAGGCCATTCCCTGGAACAGATTCCACTTCCTTTCTCTTCATAAAGAGCCTCTGGAAGGCTCTGCCATGGCATTCTCACCCCGACCTTACTGCAGCCTCTCTCCATCAGCTCCATATACTCCAGTGCTACTAGGGGCTTGACCCCTAGGCAGACAAATATTATTACTCTTCTATTGTGATTGTCACTATTATTGCTTATCCTGGTCCAAAAATGGGGGTGGGAGAGGAGCAATGATGCTAAACTAAAGACCTGCCCTTGGAGGGCTGGGGGCAGTGTATCAGAACTCCAGCAACATCTCCCTCAAACTGAGAATTTCCACCTGAAAGCTAAAAATTTCTATGTATTTGAAGAAAATCATAGCCTTAATTGTGCTGTCTGAAAAGTTAAACTAGTGATTTTCTATTCTTTTCTTTTTTTATTTTTATTGATTTTTAGAGAGATAGGAAAGGAGAGGGGGAGAGAGAGAGAGTGAAACATCAACTGGCTGCCTCCTGCATGCTCCCTTCTGTGGATCGAACCCACAACCTGGGCATGTGCCCTGACCAGGAATCAAACTGGTGACCTTTCGGTGCACAGTATGACGCCCAAACAACTGAGCAACACCAGCCAAGGCCATTTTCTATTCTTAATGGGGAAATAAACTGAATGAGGAAGAGGAATCCTGAGATGGGGAGAGGGGAGGAGAAGGGGAGTGAATAAATGGAAGTGGTGAAGTGAGGAAGGATGAAGGGCTTAATTCAACTATAAAATAAAAATATAAACAAGAATCATGGAGACTAACTGGATTGGCATTTCTCCTCCAGCAAGTATCTACGAATGGGGGAAAGGGGCTATCTTGCAGTAGTCTTTAGAAAGTGATGAGATTTTCTTAATATTTAAGATTTTGAATGCTACCAAACTTCTCTTCCAAATTAGAAAAGACTCTAATGGTTAGAAAACAGGCTTTTAAAAAATGTTTTTAAGTGAGAAGTTGTCTTATTGGCGTTCATCTGGAAAATCGCTTGAAATTGGCAGTTGACTTTTTTTTTTTTTAAGTAGCTACACAGGATAGGGTTCACTTCGTGGTGACCGCCGGATGCTCCAAAGTCAAGATCCTCTGCAGACAGGAAATGCCTTTGCCAGCTCCAAGGTCTCCTCCCCAAGCCCTCTCTATTGTCTGCAGAGATTTGTGTACATCTGACTGAGGAGATTTCCCGCCTGCAACTGGGAATCAAAGACTGCCTCAAAAGAAGGGAATCCGTGGGGGCTTTCTGGCTTTTCTGGCTACCACTTGGAACCTACTGTGTGCCAGACATTGATACCTCCTCTCAGTTGAGCCACCCACCTCTCTAAGGAACTGAAGAACTGAGAATGAGAATTATGCTTCCCAAAGCCCCCAACCAGCAAGGGGGTTACAGGGACTGGTTTGCCTTACTTCCAGCCCTGCTCTTATCCACAAAGGTGCAATTCCTGAGAGAGGGTTCCCACAGCCCCATCTGAAGGGATAGCTTCTGTTCCATAGACCTTGGATCTAGATATTTTGGTGGATGGGAGGGATTTCCAAAGTGCTTCTCATCTGAATTCAACAGCAATACCCACCCACCCACCCCCAAAAAAAGTATCAAGGGACAAAATTGGATTAGAAAAGTACAGAGTCCAGCTGGAATAGCATGAAACTCAAAGGGATGAAAAGTGAATGTTAACATTATTTTTACTACAAGATACCGCACTCCTGGCCATTTAGAAGCATCCTGGGTGATGGCTTGGTTTTCTACACTCTGTCCCATGTTGTCAGTGGTCACATATATGTCACCTCCGACCACAGATTTCAAGGATCATTATTAGGTTTTAAAGTAAAATAAAAAGGTGAGCTTTTGAGTTTGTGTTATCTTCCACAAGGCAGTAAAACTGGAATGGGAATTTTGGAAAGTGCGGTCTGTCCCCAACAAAATGCATCCCCCCCCCCCACCCACCCAAGTCCAAATATACATTTTCTTGAATCCCTCCCTGCCCCCATTAATTAAAATGAATATTCACAGCAATGAAACCACACACACACACACACACAGAGGGTGGTCAGAAATGTCGAAAGAGAATAGGTACTTTCACTATCAGGGATGGTTTCCTCTTTTCCCACAAGATGTCTTATCAGCTTTCACCCTGAGAAAACCATAAAAACTAAGAAAAAAGAAACCTTATGCAATAGTTCTCTAAATAAAATACTACACAACGGGCTAGTCATCCCTCAAAATGATGTTGTTTAAAGAGTCAAAGTACATCATCCAACAAAATCAATATCCTATTAAGTTAGAAAGGGTTCTGAATATCAAAGACCAACGAACTGAATAACTTAAAATATAAGTACATGACCCAGGGGATTAATCACACACTGTCATGGTGAAATTAGGGCAATTCTTCCAATCATTAACGTTTTGCTTACAAAAATGTGCTTTTCTGTTTGTCTTTCTGCTAAATGATAACCGTTTTCGAGTTGAATCTCCTGATAAAAAGAGTTGAAAACAAGACAGGAGTTGTGCTGTAAAGGTCGCTTCAACATGAAATAGCCAAAAGACAAACAAATGAAAAATGCCTGGACTGTAGGACGAATTTGTAAATATTCATTGGCAATCTGCAACGGGGCACTTTAGAGAACAGGTAATGCCAACCTGCGTCCTAAGAACACTGTACTTCTTCAGTTAACACGCTCTTGATTCTTAAGGACATGTTTAGATTCAGAATATGAGCAGCTTGAAGAGAGCTGGGAATAGCTTTAAATTGGAAAACTGCCTGGTTTCAGGAATGGTCTACTTTAAAACAAGATTTCACCCCTCAAGTTTCCTGGTGTCCATCAATACATCAGCCTGTATTTCTCAGCTTGATCGTCATGATACAGTTATTCTCAAGAATAAACATTAACCAGAGGTTATCTCCAGGAGCGAAACACACACACTGATTTCAGGATTGCTTTAATTCAATATTAGGCCCACAAGCCTCCCATTCTCTCAGACTCTGATACAGACAGTCCCGTTTTCAAAGGAGATTGATCACAACCTTTGAAACCCTGATGTAACCTGTCAGGCAGGGTCAGGGAGTGTGGAGCCTGCAGCTGATGGGAAAGGAGACCTTCCCACTGGCTGTCTCCTTTGGGCTCCAACACTGAGGAGACACCGAGAACAGGAGAAACAACAAAGACCTTGAACTGAGTTGGGAATCTGGGGGCTGGAAGGGGATGTGTAGATCAACCAGGCCATGTTCATCCTACAGATAGAGAATGAGGCCAAGAACTAGAACTTCAACTCAAATCTATAAGCTTCCAGGCCTGTGTACACCTCCCTGCCTAAGGTGGCAATACTAACCTAAATTCACAGGCCATTCCAGGCCATTGCAAGGAGAAGGGATGCCACAGCCCCCTAAGAGCAGTGACTTTTTTCACTCTGTCTTCACCTGAGGGCCCACATCTGGGGAGCCACAGCCCTGGCCAGCCACCTTCACAGAACCTCTGCCAGGAGGCACCCTGCTGCACATCTGGAGGCCTCCATGGAGGCAGAGGTTAGAAGAGATTTTTCGGCTTCTCCTCTTACAGGTCTCTCTCCTCATTTTCCATGCACGCAGCTAGATGCAGAATAGCAATACCTAGGCCAATCGGAAACCCCCGCCCACCTTTTCCCTCATCTCACACTCACTCTCAGCACTTTCATTCTCCCTTTCTCAGTACCCCTTCCTTGACCCCGCTCCCTCCCCTCAACCGGCAAATTCGGGCTCCCACGACCTTGGATAGGCCCTGCTTCCCTCTTCCCCTCTCTAAGCAGGTGAGGGAGGGGTTAAGGATGGGGAGTGAGGGGGGAATTCCGGCCCACTAAGAACAGGGGTTCTCAAAGCTTGGTCCCCGACGGCAACTTTGACCTCACCTGTGCACTTGTTAGACATGCAACTTCCCTGTCACTCCAACAAATCAGAAACGCGGGGGCCCAGGCCCGGGGCTGGGGCCCGGCATGGCGTTCCAGCAAGCTCCGCAGATGGTTCTGAAGTTCCCAGAAGCATGAGAACTGCTGTCCTAGCGGAACCACCTCCCGCTCCTCCCGGCCAGGGTCCCCATTCCCCTAGCGGACCCCCCAGCCCCGCTGGGCAGCCAGGGGATGACGCAGTGTTGACTCACGTTGGTCAAGGACAGCGGCCGGGCCAGGCGGCGGGGCCGAGGCGAATCGATGGGACTCGAGCGGCCCTGCGCTTCTGCGGAGCCGCCGCCGACCCGGGCGCCCCGGGCTCCGACCTGCGGGAGCCTCCCCGCCGCCCCAGACGCGCACGCGCACCTATCAATTGCAAACACCTGGGAAAAAGCCCAAACCCACCTTCCAGGTGCCCACGAGCCCGCCAAGGCCCAGCACCGCGCTCTGGGTGCTCCGGCTGCTGGAGCCCCAGCGCGATCACCACCTGAGGCTCCAGCGCTGGCGGGTGGGGTCGGCGCCCCCAGGTGTAAGAAGTGCGGATTTGTTCTGATCAGAGAACGAGAGGGCAGACGAAGACGGTCGTCTCACCAACAGATTTATTTTATAGGCAGGTTACTCATTAAAAAACACACACACACAAATATTTTGGCCATGTTTTTTACAGTGAACAATTATATATATACATATACACATTATAAACACTGGTTGATGTAAAACACAATTATCTACAATCTACTTACATTTAATTAACCTGCTATTTCTAGTTCCTGTGCTTAATTTCAGTCACCAATGAGTCAGTTTTTCTGCCTGAATTGGACAGTACTATCCTTAACACCTTAGTCAAACAGGTACTAAGTGATAGTGCAAAACAAGCATCTAAGATTATCAACTATCTCTCTCTAACAAAAGGCAGGCACATCCCGGAGATGAGCTCTGGGCTGCTTTCGGATTTAAGCAGCAGTGTAAGAATGTAATATAAAAGTAAAGAATGTTTCCTTTTAAAATATTCCAAGGCTGCCTGAAATGCGGGCCCCCTTTCCAAGGCATACCTCTGAGTTTGGGGTACCCTTTGGTTTTCCATTAAGTGGGATGAAGATACAGATTATAGAAAAGTTATTCAAGAAGATCCCATTAAAATCTTTAAAGTTATAACTTAAAAATTCAACCAAAATGTTCAAAATTGCCTTTTATAAATAGGAAAAAAATTACTTTTTTAAAAGGGGGTAAATTTAACCAGTGAAAAGTCCCCTTATCGTACAACCTAAAATCAATATATAAACTGTTTCTTAAGTCAAAATTAAGGTTTCAATGTGAGTTTGTTATTTAGCCAGTGCACCAAATATTTTCGGTTTCCAGAATACCAGCAAACTAACTTCCTTTCCCATATAGTTTTCCAGTTGTCTATAGAGATTTCCTGTTGCAAATATTATTCCCAAGTCCAGTTTTCTGAATGTGCCGATGTCAGTGATCATCATCCAGCATTAAAATAGCCTTTATCGCCCTCAATGTCCACTTCCTGATCAGAATCCTCTGAAATCTCTGACTCAAGGTCTTCCTGGGAGGCAGGGGAAGGCGAACATTGAGAGCTATCCAAAGCACCTTTATTCTGTTCACTGGGCAAGTCTTGCCTCTGATTGCAGGGATCGTCCAAACTTTCCAGTTCCTCTTTTTTATTGCTTTGAGGGTTCTCCTGAATGAAGAGGATGAAAATGGAGATTGGTAGATCATGAAATATGGAAGAGGTGAGAAATAAATCAAAATGCTTTTCACCTTCTACCATCTTTTTAATTTTTAGTTTATCAATTGCTCTTAGCTATAGTCTCTACATATATAATGCATACTCTTTTTCTCACTTTGGAAAGATTATGCTCTTGCCAAATAAGAACAACCAATCACAAATATAACTGTAAAGGTATTATGTCAAATGAACACTAATTCCAGCCCAAACCCATGACCTGAAGATTCTTAAAAGTTTAGGGGGGTGGGAGGGAGAAATCAGAGCACTGCAGATACACAGTATTATCATTCTTCAAATAGCTAAACTTTGCCAATAACAGGGCCTTCTAGACATTTTTTTAAATCCTCACCTGAGGATATTTTTTCCATTGATCTTTGGAGAAGAAAGTGGAAGGGAGGAGGGGGAGAGAGAGAGAGAGAGAGAGAGATATCGATGTGAGAGATAAACATCAACTGGTTGCCTCCCTTACACGCCCCAACCAGGGTGGAGATCGAACCTGCAACCAAGGTAGGTACAGGGTACATGCCTTTGACCAGGAATCAAACCTGAGACCCGTCAGTCAGCGGACCAATGTTCTAAACACTGAGGCAAACTGGCTAGGGCTAGACATTTTTTTTAATGAACACTAAATAGTGATTAAGGAAAAAGTTTCAAATTGTTAGATTGAATCCTTTTCATCCATTTTCTGGAGTATGTTTATAAACATACATAAATATGTGTAACAGGTTACAAAATCATGGCAAATAAATAAATGTAGAACTGGAAGAATGTTGCCAACTGAAAAGAGAAACAACTATAATTTAAAATCTGAGGGAAATTTCTTGAAAATATTCCCATATTACATAGGTATCTCTAGTTTAAGAGTCCCTAGTAAACTGCAGTCACACTTTTGATCAAGAACTAAATGAGCTAGTAAATTTAATCCTGTGTTTGTCTAAAATGGACAGAAACACTATATAGAAGTATTATAAAGTGTGTTTTTTTTAAGCAAGCCTATAGAATAACAGATTCACCAGGCTTGCATCTATGTAACAAATATACGTACAAGGTCAGAAATTGAGAGAAAACCTGAACATTTTTAAATCACATTAGAATAATGAAATAAATTTTATTTCCTGATTCAAAATATTCTTTGTAACACTATCTTGTTTTTAATGAAAAAGCTTTATGATTACTATATTTAAAAATGCACACTGCTTTCGATTTCCCAACTTGTACCATTGTTTCGAAAATATTTTATTTACTATAAACTACACATACATTGGCAAATGAACAATTCATCAATTGCAGATTATTTTGGGGAAGTCATCCTGATTAGTACTTCATAAACAAATCTTTAGCCTTAAGTTAATAGCCTTTAAAAACTGAATTAGCCTTTACTTTTTTATCACATATTGCGTAACAAGGTCATAGGAAGAAAGACAGTTAGAAAGTTTAAGCTACTTTCCAAACAGGCTTGGATATTCTCTTACATGTTTTTATATTCCTTTTAAGAGCTGGCATTAGAAGGGAAATGATTTTTAAACTCTTTGATATTTAATTCTTCTTTAAAAACAGTGTAAACAAGACTTAAAGGTGTTTATTTCCTTATATTTACCCTTGAGCTCTGACTGGTTTTATTATGGCTGTGTAAATAAAAGAAACAATTTTCTCCCAAAGATAACTGCTTAAGTCATTTACTGTCAATTACTTTATCTTTCCTGCGTTAATTAGATAAACAACATATGGGGTTTATAAAACAATTAGCCAGGAGTTTTACTAGCCAGTGTGTGAAAACCCAAGCATAATTGACATAGGAACTGCATTAGGTGCTTTTAGCATTACTGCCACCTGAGCAACTCATCCTGAATTTCAGCAAGACTATTTGCCTTTTTAATCAAGGTGAAGAGGTTAAATAGTCTCTCAAATGACTTTTGCATACAACCTATAACAGGCCTCGCATTGAGATAACCTGATAAAAATATTTATTTCCATAGAAACAGAACCATGTCCATACCTGCTTTAGTCTTCGCCATTTAGCGCGTCGATTCTGAAACCAGGTTTTGACCTACAGGAAAAAGAGAAAGAAAACTTGCCACCAGCCCAGAATCCCGAGGGACGTGGTGGGGAGGAGGCAGATTCCGGGCTCCACAGCAGACCACAGCGCCAGAAACTGGAAAGCTAGTCTCCAGGAGCAGGGGCGCACAGGGGCTCCACGTCTCCCTTACGCCCCGCGACGCCCGCCCCAGGAGAGCTCCCCAGGAGAGCTGCCCCGGGCAGCCCAGCCGGTGCGCTCACCTGTCTCTCGCTAAGCTGCAACATCTTGGCCAGACGCTTCCTCTCAGGCGGGGAGAGGTATTTCTGGGTCTCAAACTTCTTCTCCAGCTCGATAGTCTGGTCGTTGGAGAACCTCACCTGGCCGCCTTTCCTTTTATGCAGAGGCCTCTGCAAGAAAGGGCTCCAGAGCAGAGGTTTGCCTGTGGGCAGAAAGAGTGCTGATGAGTGATGGCCTTGGGGGTGACCAAGGGGGTAAGGAGACTCAGGAGGACACCGGACCAGACACGTCCATATACATTCACCGAAACATGGACCCAATACAGGGCCACCAATACACATGCATACCCAGAGACAGAAACAGCCAGTCACACCTCCACTGCAATACGCAGAGACCACCCTGAACAATCACAGACACATACACACCACCTTCACACCCACAGCTAGATACCAACAGCCAAATCTTTTGATCACCGAAAGAACAGCCATTATAGGTTGAGCTTAAAATACCAAGACCCTCTTTAACCAGTTGCTCTCCAATTTATCTACAACTTTTTGCACCTCTAGGTCCTCTCCCTCGGTGAACCGCACTTTCCAAATACTCTGTTGGGAGGAGCGGGGCCGTTACATTCACACAGGCTGTTGTAGCCAGAGACCGACGGCGGGAGTCTAGCCAGGGGACCCCGCGCTAGGCTGCGTGGGAAGCCCTTGAGCGCGGCGCCGGCCTTCGGCCACGCGTGGGGCTTCCAATCCTGGATCCAGGGCGCCGCGGCCTCCTTTGATTTCACACCCGGCCCGCGGGGGCGGCCAGTTAAAGCCACCCCGTGGGCTATGGCAACATTTCCGTCAATGTGTTTCCTGTTGGTCTAACTCGAAAACCCTTTGCTTCCTCCTGCTCAGTCCCAGCAGTAACCCAAGGAAACCCAGGGCGCGCTCGGTGAAACGTTCGCCCCCATCCCCGGCCCGGCTGAGAGCCCCCCTCCCGCCACAGCAGGCTAACAGAGCCACGCAGGGGCCCCGCAGCACCAAACCCTCGAGGCTGGAATAAAAAAATACGACGTAATAACTTTTTTTTAAAAGAGAACTAAAATATAATCCTCCACCCCTATCTCTCTAACAATGAGAAGATGGAGAACTGAACTAGAGGCCGTACCATCCTAATGTGATTAAAATGTTAATGGATTAAAGTGTTAGTTGTCTCCAGGGTCTCTTCAGAAGCTGCCAATAACAAAGAGATTTAAAACCCTGGTGGCCCCCCGGCAAGAAGCCTGGGCCCCTTACTCCACGCCGGGGCTTCGGATGCCAGAGGCGCCAAGGGCCACCCGGAGCGCGGAGCAAGGGTGCCTTCTAAGCCTTAGGCCGCGCACCGAGGGGACGAGCCCCGCACCTTCTATAAGCCCAACGTGTCCGCACTGCCCTTCGAACTCCAAAGACGTGCCCGACAGTCCGTCCGTCCGTGCGTGCGTCTGTAGGCCTTCGCCTAAACGCTTTGAAAGCTGGCATTGTTTTTTTTGTGTGTGTGTCTTGTGTGTTTTTCGAGATTTTGCTTACGTCAGGCTTCAGACTGGTGCAAAACAGCCTCAAAAAAAAAGGAAGCAACTGGTTATTTTAGCTGCCATAAAGTCACATCCCACACAGAGGAAATGAACAATATCAGAAAAACGGATCCCGGCTATCAGAAGTCGAGTGTTTCCTGAATTTGTCTGTATTGAGGATGTCGATAAAATAATCAGCAGCGTGCACTACTCCGGGGGAAGGGTCTGCTTCACGCAGCCAGGAAAACACTTAACAGCTTCTGAAACCAGATTTACTCCTATCGAGAACTCAAGATTTCCTGTATGAACGGAAAGGGTCAGGCTCTTTCACTGCACAAGCTTGTTGAACCGGGTCCAGCCCCGTAACCACCCGGGCCCGGCAACTATCCCGGCCCCGCGGGGGCCGGCCGGGGCGCCTTGGCACTCCCTTCCCCGTCCCTCCAGCTCAGGGGACCCCTCCCAAGGCGACGCGCGCGCCCCACAACTGCCTTGGGCCGCCAGCCCCGGCGGCAGCGCCCGAGGTCTCACCCCGGCCGGCGCGCCCCGACGCCGGCAAGGTTCAGGAAAACCAATCTGAGTCATGGTGCGGTCACTCCCGCCGCGCGCCGCCGGTGCCCGCGTCTCCTGGCCCCGCGCGCGCCCGAGGGCCGCTTTTCAATCGCTTTGGCCACAACTTTCTATTGCCTCCCCTCCGCCCCCGCCGCCTCCTGGGCGCTGCCACCTGCCGGGTGGCGCCTTCCTCGCCGCCGCCTCGGCTCGGCCCCGCCATGACCCCGGCCGCCTTACCCAGGGGGTCGTGGCGGAGCAGGGCGTGTGTGTAGTCGTTCACCGTCCGCGGAAAGGGGTACAGAGGTCCCCCGAAACC